CACCATGCAGTAAGTACCCATTAGCTTCCTGGAGGCCCCTAGGCTTCCCGTCATTGCTGTTCTGACTCTGGGTTATAATGGTGTGTCTTGCTCCCCAGGGAACCAAGCATGGGCTTGGTATTGGGGATGTCACACGGAAGCTGTCAGACTCAGCTCACGGTGAGCTCCTCAGCTACAGAGAGCCTGGCATGTCTGTCCTGTGCCTCCAGCTCCTGGGGCAGAGCCTGGCACAGCATGGGCATGCTGGATGTGTTGGTCTGAGTTGGCTCTCGATGGCCCAGGCTGGAGCTCTTCCTGGACCAGTCGCCTGTGAGAGCAAGTGTTGGCTGGGAAGCACGGAGCACAGGGTGTCTGGGGGTCTCCTTCCTGCCATGTCGACTTGACCCTGTGTCATGCACAAGAGCTGGGACAGGCCTGGCCTCTGCACGGAGAGATGGCTGCAGCCACCTCTGAAGTGGACATTTAAGGGGTGGCTTTTCCTCCCCAAGCCTGTTTCTCCTTTAGTTTTGGGGGCCTAAAATACTCCCTGCCACAGCTGGTCCTGGAGACTGAGATGCAGTACGGTATACTGGGACCCGCCTGCCTCGCAACCTGGCTCCCCATGGGCATCAGTATACAGTATGTGCTCAATATGCAGATGAAGATGTCACTACCACCACCACCATCCTCTGTTCCCACTACTTCTCAGAGAGGTCACAGGCTCTGCTGCAATTAGGAACAAGGAAGACCTTTGAAATCCTTCATGCAACAGAGGTGATGGTCATGGTCCTGTCTGTTCCTGCCCTGCAGGAGCTTGTTGGCTCGTGGTGTTGTACGGACTGAAGTTATTTATCAGTGGACATTCTTGTTAGCAGGTTTAGGATAATACAAGGGGTGCACCTGTGCCTGTTGATCGGCCTCATCAGTGGTACATAGAATGACTGTTAGGTACAAAGAGCAGGGTGCCATTTGATCACTTGCTCCCTAAACCCTCATGAGTGAACCCCCACATGCTAGTGTGGGTTCCAGAGTCCTGAGTGGACCCTATCCTACTTACATGAGGTATTCTCATTCCTGAGGACCACCCAGAGTTCTCAGTTGGTACTGACACATCTTGCTGGAGCCTTCCCCAAGGACCACCAGAACCCTCTCTGGCTTCCCCTGGAGGACTGTGCAGAGACTTCCAGGACCTTGGAGACCACCTAGATGCGCATCTCCTTGCTTTACAGATGGGAAAATGGAGGCCAGTGAGGGTGGAGGTCTAATGGGGTTGGGACAAGAGCCCAGGTGTGGTGGGCCATTTCTCCACACTGTGTCTATATGTGATTATGACCATGTATCCCTTTTTGCTCCAAGAAGAGGAATGCACTGTTCTTATTCAGATAAAACAGAGAAGGTAAAGCATGGACTCAGAGCCAGACTGCATAGGTTCAAATCTGGGCTGGGTAGCCTGGGCAACTTACTTAAGCTCCATTTGTTTATTTGTAAAATGGACATGCTACTAGTTCCTGCTTCCTGAGGGTTAAATGAGCTAATGTATTAACAATACTTTAACATCACCTGGCACATAGGACATCCCATATAAGTACGAGCTGCTGTTACTGTGATCATGATATTGATGGTGGTGGTGATAAGGGTGATGTTTGCTGTTGATAGTGATGATTGTGGTGATGTTGTTAATGATGATGGTGATGTTGATGGTGAATGTGGTGGTGAAAGTGGTGGTGATGGTGGTGATAATTGTGATGGTGGTGATGGTGGTGGTGGTGGTGATGGGGATGGTGAGGGGGTTGGAGGAGGTAATGGTGGAGGTGGTGATGATAGTGATGATGAAAATAGTGATGGTGATGTTGTAGGTGAAGGTGGTGGTGGAGGTGATGGTGAAGGTGGTGATGTTGATGGTGAAGGTGATGGTGATGGTGATGGTGAAGGTGGTGGTTATGGTGACCATGATGTTGACAGTGATGAGGGTGTCTTTGATATTGGTCATCCTTATAGTTTATGTTGATGAGTGTAAGTCAATGATCATAAATGTTGTGATTAAAATCTAAACAGAGATAAAGGTTTTGTCTTTTTCCAACAATCCCCAGGACCTAAAATGGCTGGGAAAAGAGGCTTGTTGGTTCCTTGACTGTTCATATAAATCCACGCATACATCCAATTCCCCATAGCGATGTGTGGACCTGCAACATCTGCAGATGACCATCTACCTAGAAGATGCAAGTTAAAACACACAGACAGGCTTTCCTACGTGCGCCTGAACCTACTTCAGGAGTAACAAACATGCTTCCACCTTCCTTTACTGCCCTCCACGTGGTCATTTCCAGGGTTGAGGAAACCCATTTTCCCTCCCTGGGCTGCAGCATCTGCAGGCCCTGAGCTGGAGGGGGGCCTGCAGAGGTTGGAGTCTTGGGGGGATGAGCCCCCATTCTACACATCCCATAGCTTTGCTGTTTATTGTGATGAACCCAGAGGATGGATTCTCAGTGAAGCGTGCCCTGGGAATGTGGCTTCCACGATCTCCCTGGTTCTTCATGGGAGACAGAGCCCGGTGGTGGGAAGCCCTGCATGGGCTGTGTGAGCCTCTTCTGTCCTTGACAGTGTGACCGTGGGAGT